GCTTAAGCTAATACAAATTGGGTTTCTGTTACCTGCATCCACGAAAATCCTGAGTAAGTCTCAGAAAAAATAGTAACAAAACCAAGGAAGGGGTGTTACTTGTCAAACAAGGATGGGACAGACCTCTGTGACGGAATCATGTGAATAGGTGTTTTTGTCCTACCCTTTGAGAGAAAAGTTTTTCAAAGTCAAATAAGTACTGAGGAAATGTAAAACCCAACTAGGGAAAAGAGGTTCAAATCTCCAGGCCAGGCAACTGACAACACTGGGAAGCATCTCAGCCTGACACCGCTGTGGGCATGAGGAAGGAAAGGGCCCAGGTGCTGAGGGTAAGTAAAGCTTTCCCCAGTTGTTCAGACATAAAGATCCCAAATTACAGTGATCATTAAACATAGTACAAGTTTTCAGAAAAATTCTGAAACTGTCATAATTTACAAATAGTTGGAGGGGGAGCTACAAAAGTCAGTCTAAGTTCAGTAAGAGGAAGTCGGATGAAACTGACATGACTGTCTTTTAAACAACTTGGATAAATCTACTAGTGACACATATCCAGGCAGGATAACTTATACTTTGGGTAACAGAATCAGGATTCAAAATATTTTGACAGGCTAGAATAATGAGCAGATACCACACAGAGAAATAAATGTAAAGTTCTGCCTTTGGGTCCAATGTGTGATTCACACATGTAGAGTAGGGAAGCTCCTGGGGCCACATCTGATTCCAGTCTCTCTGATTCCTTCAGTCACATGCAGCACTGAACTGCAGAAAAGAAACTTCTCCCTCTGGAGAAGAGAATATAAGATCATTCTTTTGATCAATTTTCTCCCCAGAACTTCCAGAGGAACAGTGTTTTCTACATTAGCTTGGAGGATTGATGTAGGTTCAGTTGTTTCCACAGGGCATATATTCCTAGCCAGAACCCCTATAGATCTCGGGTTTCTCTGCTTAATAGCCTTTGAATTCATTGAACTCAGAAACCATCCACTGACTTTTCTTTAAAAAGTAACAGCAGTTGTTTCCTTTAGTTTCTCTTTGACACAGTGACAGATTATTCCAAGACCCTTTTTCTTCAATATCTGAAACCAAGAGAAGTGGCTGATATGATATTCACGACCTCAAAAAATATAGAATGCCAAGTTTTCTGTAACTGAAATCTTATAAGCAGAAAAAAAAATTATTTAAATGTTACAAAATTTTAAACAGTTTTTTTTCTTCCAGAATCAAGGCAACTAGCTTACCATTAAATTTGCATAAAAGTTTCATAGTAGAAAAAAATCAGTTTGAGCCTCAGTAAGATAGAATTGTTACTAAATGAAGCAAAGAGTTTTATTCTGGTCTTAGATAGCAGGCCTAGAATATCATAAAAAATGAAAAGAATCTGACTGACAGTATAAAGAGAACAAGAAATTTAGGTATAAAATGGGAAAAGCGGTACTAGATAACTCAGAGAACTCTTTGTCAGGAAAAAAAAATTAGGGAACAATTTGTTAAAGGATATTATATTGCTTCTAAGCAAAGCAAATGAAAATAACCAAGACAAATCTAGTTAAATTATGCCATTCAGAATTAATAACTTTCCACATCCAAGGCTGATTTGATGCATAGTAATTCTTGGTCTTCTCTGTTCACCATATGCATTGAATTAACAAACCTACTTACTAGGAATGGATATTTGGTAGGAAAGACACTGGCTTCTGATCCTAACTCTGACACTAAGTGTAATCCTTTAAACACATCAGAAATTTTTGTCCCCTGATTATCTGAAAGATTAAAAAACTGTATTAAATTTGTTCATTCAAGTTTTTTTTTTGCAAGATGAAAAAGAAAGTGCTTGAAATCTGTTTCACAGCTATATGAATATACTTAATATTACTGACCATTATACTTAAAAGAATATATATTTCTTTTCTTCAGGCTCAAAACGTCCCAAACATTGACTTAGACATGGGAATACTTGTACCAGCCTTCTATCATTTGTTGTGCTCTATCAACAGGAAAGATGAACTCGTCATTATAACTTCATAGAAGTATAGAGAAAGTGGCTTAGAGTTCAAAGAACAAGGTGGTACATCTTTAGACAGGAGTGAGAGATTGGAAAATGTTCTGGAAAAGGTCATCAAGGGGGGTTGTACTATTAGTTCAGGGCTTACGAGGAGATCTCTGAGTTGAAAATGGAGACTTCTACTTCTAGCCAAAATGAAAAAACAAAGGGTGAGATTTAGAGTTACTCTCCCTCCTGATAAAACTAGAGAACAAACTACAGAATTAGTGTTTTTTAAGACACTGGATCTCAGGTATGAAGGACAGTGATTCCTGAGAGAGAGTCAATAAATGAAAGGAGCAGTCAGTTGCCCAGTTTTCTATGATCTGTAAGAGTATCCAAACCATGGTACAGGGAAAAGAGATCATAGTGAACTCTGGTGGGCTTTGGAGACCCTAGTGGCTGGAGTTAGCGGGACATTAACAGAGAGGAGAGCTATACAGGGAGAGAGGTCTGGAGATTTGCAAGGATTTCTCTTGAGTATTCAGCTGAGTGCTGATCAGCAGTGGGTAAGAAAACTACCTGAGGATGAAGAAAGATCAGTCCAAACACATCAGAAGTACCAAGGTACAGCTGAGGATTTAGCTCTGCAGCATAAGCGCCTACCTGGCAAGCGTGAGGTTACGAGTTTAATCCTCTGTTAAAAAAAAAAGTACCAATGTACTGTGAAATGGGAAGAAATTGTTCAAAAGAGAAAAGGAGCTGGGAGAGGTGAAAAGGGAAAGGACAGTGGGGAAAAGGGAAAAATGCAAGACAATTACAAGTCATAGTTCATTAAAAAGGAAGATCTGTTCTAATACCAATTAGAGAAATGTTTATGCCCCATCTTGTACCCTGAGCAACAACTTGTAATGTATTACAATGTGTAATAGATTAACTATTGTTACTCTCCTATTAATTTGTTATGAAATTTTGTTTTACCTTTTTTCCATAAAAATTTTTTAAAAGATTAAAAGTACTAATACCCAGCATTCCCTGGAAGTGAATAGCAGTGCTTGTTCCCAGTAGCTAGACTGGAAAACTTACTCCACAGGGCATTGAGCATAATACCCAGAAAAGTCCTGCTGTTGTAGTGAGGAATAATTAGCCCTATGCTGAGCACTGCTTTGGTCTCCTCTAACAAATCTTAACTGCAGCATCAAAAAAGTTGAGTTATTTCCAAGTAATTTTAATACAACCTGGGAAAAGCTCAAAAATATTTATAGGAATATAGAATTATTCAGCACCAAAGTAGATAAAACACTGTCTGGCATCCAACCAAAAATTAGCAGGCCTACAGAAAAACAGGAAAAAACAACCCCTATGAGAAGATATATCAATAAAAATCAACCTAGTACTGCCAGAAATGTGAGAAATAGCTAACAAGAACACTAAAATAATTTACCATACCTGTGTATTGACAAAAAAGTTAAAGATGTGAAAGATATCCAAAAAACATGCAATCAGACTTCCAGAAATGAAAACTGCAGCGTCTGAAATGAACAAACAGTGGGTGGGAATGCCAGTATATTAGACATTGTGGAAGTAAAGATTAGTATATTTGAAGACAATAGTACAACATAGAAGCACAGAAAAGGAGAAACTTTGAAAAACGAACGGATCATCAAACATTGGATAATTTGAAATGGCCTAACATCCACTTCAGTTAGGTCCCTAATGAGGGGGAGAAGAGAGAGAAACACCTGAAAGGATAGTGGCTGGAATTTTCCAGGTTTAATGAAAACTTTATAAACCCCACAGATTCAAGACATCCAGTGAAACCTAGCCAGTAAATAAGTACAGTAGGATAGAAGAGGAAAACTATAGTAAGGCATTTATCACAGTCAAGTGCTCAAAACTAATGATAAAAGTAAAACCTTAAAAGCAACCAGAGGAAAACAACACATTATATACAAAAGAATAAGGATGATAACAGGTTTCTCCTTGGAAACAGTGCAAAGAAAAAATCTACAGAACATTTTTAAAGTACTTTAGGAAAAATAAACTGTCATCTAACAATTCTATACCAAGCCAACACAGCTTTTTTCCCATGTAGTTTGTAGTACACAGTGTTTACATTCTTTGTGGAGAATTAGTACATGTACATAATACAACTTAATTCCTTTTTTCCCGTGTAGTTTGTAGTACAGTGTTTTCCCATGTAGTTTGTAGTACATAGTGTTTACATTCTTTGTGGGGAATTAGTACATGTACCTAATACAACTTAATTCCTTTTTTCCCTTCCCCACTCCATCCATCTTGATCCTCTGTATTTATACATGTGCATGCTTCATTTTGGTACAAAAGATGAAGCAGTTCATTCCCCAAAAACTCAAAAGAAATGTTTAAGTCCCTCAGACAGACTAAAGTTATATAATATGGAAATGTAGATTTCTAAAAATGAATGAAAAGCACTAGAAATAATAGCTACATGAATAAATCTGTAGCATTTTTCATGTTATTTAAATCTTTTAAAATACAGTTTCCTGGGGCTGGGGATTTAGCTCAGCGGCATAAATGCCTGCCTTGCAGCACACAGCCGTGAGTTCGATCCCTGATACTGATTTTTTTTTTTTTTTGTCTTTTTCCTTTTTGTCGGTACCGGGGATCGAACTCACGACTGCCTGCTTGCAAGGCAGGTGCTTATGCCACTGAGCTCAATCCCCAGCCCCCCTGATACTGATTTTAAAAAAATACAGTTTCCTGTTTTAAAATAACAACATGAATAAATTCCTGACTATAACAAACATTAGGCATGGTGGCACATGCTTATAATCCCAACACTCTGGAGGCTGAGGCAGGAGGATCATTGCAAATTCAAGGCAGTGTAGGCTACATTAGTGAGTTCAAGGCCAACTGCATAGCAATACTCTGTCTCAAAAAAAAAAAAAAATATATATATATATATATAAACCTAAATATGCTGTAATAAGATATTTTCAAAATATGTTAAGAAAAATAATAAAAGCTACAATTCCAGTTGGAAATGTTAATGTTTCTATTTAATAAGTCAATAGACAATTACCAAGTATACAGAAGACCTGAACACTATCCACAAAACTAACATTTTAAAATACTTTACCTAACAAAATCAGAATATACATGGTTTTCACATGTGTTTTTGCCATGATAGGCCATATTCTGTTTCATGTCACAGTCTAAAAGAGTCCAAGGTTTCTGCCATAATGAAATCAAGTTAAAAACAGTAACAGAGAAATCTTTGAAGTAATCCTCTAAAACCTGGGAACTAAAAACCATACTCCAAAGTAATCCGTGGTATTTTGAACTACATGAAGATGAAATGTAACATCAAAATTTTTGTAATATTCCTAAAGCAATACTTAAATAGAAATAATACCCAGATTAGAAAGGAAGAAAGATTTCAAATCAGTGACCTCAGTTTCCATTTCAAGAAACTAGAAAAATTAGAGCAAATTAAACCAAAGAAAACAAAAGAAAGGAAAACAGGAATTAGAGCAAAAATCAATGAAAAAAGAAATTGAGAAAAAAATAGTAAATATCAATTAGAACAATCTGGTCAGACTGATGAAAAAAAAACAAAACAAGTTCCCAATACCAAGATGAGACTTTTTCTTCCCTTTCTAAATTTTAACTGATAAAAGTCATATCACAGGATACCATGTGATATGTCAGTACATGTACATGTTGTGTAATGTTTCAGTCAGGTTACATGTATCTAACCAAACGCTCATCACCTGAAAGCATTCAAACTGCTTCTAGCTTTTCAAAATACAAAGTACATTATCTTTCTCTGTAGTCAATCTCATGTGCAGTACTCCCATCTAACTATGTAACAGTACAGAGTCCTTTGGGGGTGATGGATATTATGAGTGTGCTAATGGTGTCATGGATTGATGTACATCTCAAAATTTGTCAAATTTTGTACTTTAAGTAGATTCTTTAAGTATACTTCATTATGTGTCATTGATGTTTCAGTAAAGCTGTTAATAAATGTGACTGGAACCAAGCATGGGGAGAGATGTCCAGGTGAAACAGAGCAGTCCATGTTGGTTGGAAGAAAACAGTGTGAGAGAATATAAAAGATATATTTGAAAATGCACTGACAGTACTTGAAAACTGTGGCAAGATCAGGGGTCACCTGGAGGGGAGGACCAAGAAATACTAGGAAGGTACAAAGAGATGACCAGGCAGTCACGGAACATGAAGGTAATGCCAAATTTATGGCAAAACCTCCCAAAAGGGAGGTTACAGGAGGACATGCAGCATGAAGAGAAGGACCAGGGTGGAGGTGTAGGCAATTCCTGTGCTTTGTGGATGAACAAGAAGGGAGGAAGAAAGGGGAAGTGACTTTCTGAGAGAAGAGGACACCACGGTCAGATGCCTCCACCTAACAGGCGATGTGTGGCCTTTGAAAATGCCTTTAGTAAAGTTTGGAGAAAAAAAGCCAAATTGCACACAATAAATCAGCTTAATATATTGGCTAGAAGAATATTCCTATCTTTAAAACATTAGCTTATTTCTTTCTAGTCTGAATTTCATGATTTCAAACTCAAGTTTAATTTTTTCATACATGAATCCAAGAAAATGCACTCCAGGTGTCTGATCTCTGGGTGAGAACCTGAAAACCCAGTTGTAGATGTGTTTTGTTTTTTTTTTTTTTAAAGGAAAAAGAGAAAAAAAAGCAGAACAAAACAAAACAGTGTAAGGGTACAAGTATACAGAACTACAAAAAACAAAACAAAACAAAAAAAAAAAAACCAGTAAGCTATCACCAGTTAATAGATTACATGCTATCATCTTAGAAACTGTTTCAGGTCACAGGATCAAAGCATGCAAAGTGAACATTCAAACAGTGAGACTGCAAATAGTTGTGTTCAGTAATCCAATCAAAAATATTAATATGGACATCTATATTACACACACCTAAACACCCTTGCTGATGTATCCTTTAGGGCACTTTTTTCCCCCCTCTATTTGTTACAACAAAATTTACACATTTTGGGTTTTATTGCTCCCTTAGATGTTATTACTTTTTTTGTAAGAGAATAAAATCAAGCATGCTAAAACAAAGCTGTCAGTCAAAACCAAGGATAGATATAGCACATGATGTAAAAACAGAGTACAAGGTTTTCAACAATGGTTACCATAATGCCTCTTGCTTCCTTAAGAAGAATTGTCTATCTCATTAGGTATTATAAAGTTGAACAAAACAGTAGAGAACAAGACCAATAAAACTTAAACATTGTAAATCTTACACAACCTCAAAAGAGGATAATAGTCAAACCAGAATGGGCATCATAGTGAATCTTATTGTCTTCAAAGTGGTTGCCTATACTCTGATACCTGATACTTTCATACAGAGCAGAATAGAGTCTAATCAGTCAAAACAAGATAATGGGGGTATTACAGGACTTCAAGTTAATAGGAAATCAAAAAAGTTACTATAATATATCCGGCTAGTTTTTTCTATTTTTCCCTTTAGTTTAAAAAAGAAATTTAAAAAATTAAATAATTTTTTAATGAATAAGGGAGAGGTTGAGATAAAAGGGGACATAACAACATAACAATACAGGTTAAAGCATGACACTTTCAGCAACCTAGTGCTTCACCACCAAATAACCCAACTATTAAGTAGTTACCATAGTGTCTTTTTCCTTGAAATATTTGAATATAACTTCATATGCTATAGCATCAAACATATCAAGACAGTGTAACACCATTCAAGTGGATGAAAGCATTGTAGAGTATTTAGAACCAGCTAACAGAAAAATGAACAATGATTTCTATATTGTCTCTTTGCCTATAACAATTTTTGTTTATACTACCACATACGATAAAATCCAGCAAGATACAACATGATAAAATCAATGGAGACAGAAGAGCCATAGTTTGGTGCGGCTTCAAAACAAGATGGTATTAAATCAGCACTAGCTATTATGATGTCTTGTTTTCTTCAAAATAGCTGTTCATTGCATCACAGGCCATAATATCAAATAGCCCAGAATAAAGCCATTCCAATTAATGAGTGAAAACTTTATAAGGCTTCAAGGCCACATAATGGGGAATCTTTGTTACCACATACTTTTATATATTTGAATCATTTCTTACACTAGGGAAACTATTCGGTGTTCACAGATGTGAGTTTGATTTATTTCACTTATGAGTATGGTTTCAAGCTGCTCCCAATTTATTGATAAATACCTCAATGTGATCCTTCTTTATAGCTGAGTAGTACTCCATTGTATAGAAATACCACAACTTTTTTATCCATTCCTCAGTTGATGGACACTTGGGTTGTTTCCAAGATCTGGCGATTACAAATTGTGCTGCTATAAACATAGGTGCGCCTATATCACTGTGGTATGATGCTTTCAGTTCTTCTGGGAATATGCCTAGAAGTGGAATAGCTGGAAAAAATGGGACGTAGATGTGTTTCAGATGTGGCTAGCTGGTGCCGAGTCCCAGATGAATAAGGTGAGCAAGGTTCTGCAGCGATGGCTCCACATGGAGTGAAGGCGCTGTCTGTACCTCAGGAGTTGGGGGAGGCCTGCGCAGACAGAAGTGTGACCCCTCGGGAGACTCGCTAGCATCGTACTGTAGTTTATCAGACTTCTCATACAGACTTGAAAAAGAACCTAGGGCTATAAACAAAGGGAAATACTTCCACCAAATAATTTTATGTATGTGAGGTTCCAAAGCCATATCCTGCCAATCTCTTTCATATACAATTTCTGCCAACCACCACTTACGTTTTATAAACCCAAGCACTCTAATAGCCACCTCTAGGGTCTCTTTGAAATCTGTTTCTGAATTTTGAAAGTTCCATCTGTTAGATTCTGGTTTAGGCTCTGTTTTCAACTATCACTAGTGGAAACTAAATCATATTCATTACTTTGTGTTTCAATCCTCAGAGTCCTTGGTAAATAAACACAGCATTGTTTTAGTTAAATGATAACCATCTGTTCAGAAAAGCAGAACTCAAACTGAAAGTATACCTCAGCAGAAGGAAAGGTACAAAAATAAACATAGGAACCCCTGACAAGCTCTGATGGACTGTTAGATATTAGGTATTATCTCTGTTCTAAATTACTTACCCTTTTGTGAGAAACAGGCTGCAGAGAATCAAAGGTGGTACTAGATTAAGAAAATACAAATGTGACCACAGAAGCACATTTTTTGGCACATGGATTATCACATCCTTGCATCCATTTTAGGTGCTTTTAGCATTCTGAACAGGATGTGACATGCTTTTGAGATGTGTTTCAGAATTTTATTTAATGTTTTGTACTGTTTAATAGACATTTTCACCTCCCTTTCAGGACACATTTGAGTTGGAAAGTCACAGTTGTCCTCAGAAAGCCTTGGAAGGTGACTGTAACACAGATTCCTAAATGTGCTGACCTTTGGTACCTCTATCCTAGATAGAGGAGTAAGAGGGTCAGGAGACCTGAGTTCCTTTAAATATAAGCCTTGTGTTTAAAAACTTGCCATCAGTCATAGTGCTTGGAACCTAAATAGCAAATAGGGCAAAGTAGCAAGCTTGCCAGTTCCACAGTGTTCTTTGGGAAATAGGTATTTTGACATGCTTCCTGTTCCTTCTCCCTGACTCACCCTGATCCTTCTAATGAGAGCTAATTTTATTGCAATTTTATTCTCAGATTCTATTAGTGAGTTCTCCTCAGTAGGTAAAATGGAACCAAATATAAGCTTCTTGTGGCTTTGAGGTTCCTGTCAACCTTGTTTCTGCACCCTCACTGTTGTCCTCTCCAAAGGGGCACTGATTGACCGCAAACCAAAACAAAAAGATCCTCTGTTGGTGTGAGCATAAACATAAGCATAACCTTTTTAAAAGCCCCATTTTTCTCTTCCATGGCCATGAGTATGCTAACCACTGCAGATGATTGTCACTGAAGGTAGCCAAGCAGAGAACCACTATGGGAATTCCGGAGCCAACGTGCATTTATTCCCAATCTTGCACCCTGACAGGCATTTCTCTGAAGGGCAAAACTCAGGCAAGCTCCAGAGGCAAGAAACAAGGACCAGGAAATAATAGAGGTGCCAGGCATGGTGATGCATGCCTGTACTCTCAGCGCTCCAGAGCCTGAGGCAGGAAGATCGCCATGAGTTCAAGACCATCCTAGAACACATAATAAGACCCTGTCTCAAACAAAAGGGTAATGAAAGGAAAACAACATTAAAAGAAACACATCTCAGAGGGAATGAAGGGTGACAGCCAATGTTTTGGCTGCTTTAGGTGGAAAGAGAGCCCTCTGAGCAGTTAGACAATTGGCTACAGCTGAGAGGACCAACATAGTACGGTAGCTACCAGAACCCTTGCTTTGGTGTACATATTCACACCCCATGTACTGTATATCCAGTATTTTATTTAACCAAATAAAATGCAATATAAATGGAAATAACTTATAACAAAATTTCATTAATCCATTGTACTGATTCAAATTCACCTGCAAGTGAAAATACAAAATAAATAGAAGGCAAGACTCTGTAGCTTGAGGCTATAGCCTAATGATTTCTTTAAAGGTCAGTCAAAAGTCCTGGGATTGTAAGTATAAAGGGCATTTGCTCTGGACCAAAAGGAGCCTTAGATTTAGATCCTTGCTAGTAAGTACAGCTAAAAGGAGATGAAGGATGGGGAGAAGAATAGAGGGAAAGTAGAGGTATTTATGGTCTCACCTTAGAAAATATTTTATTTTTTTGTCTTTTTCGTTTTTTTTATCGGTACCAGGGATTGAACTCATGACTGTCTGCTTGCAAGGCAGGTGCTTATGCTGCTGAGCTAAATCCCCAGCCCCCTTAGAAAATATTTTTTAAAAATACAATTTCTTGTTGAGGGAGCAAAAATAAAGGATGCATGTATTATCTAATTAAGATAATCAGAGGTATGACTGTAAATTAAAGATGAAAAGAGAGGAGGTCATTAGTGTTATAAACCCAGATCTGTCATAAAAGGAACTTGGGAGATGCCATCCAGAATTGATAAGTTAAGCAAGAACAATATCAGCATGTTATGTAGTGATTGGAGTTAACCCTGAAAACAGAAGTAACTTAAAGCAGGTGTGAAAGATGGGCACATTGGGTCAAGGGACTGCTGCTTTTAATTGGATTCAGCCTTCTGTGGGGGTTGGTTTGCCAAGGAGCAAAGGGGTAATGTTCTTCGTAGCCTTGACAAAATCAGATGTTCTGGGTGTCGACTAGAAGTGCTTTTGATTTCACAAAATCAATTGAACAGGGTGAAAGATGGTTGAAGGCCTTGTTTCCTCAAAATATTATCTGAATTTTTCCACTATAAAAATGTACTAGGGCTCGGGGTTTAGCTCAGCAGCACAAGTGCCTGGCAAACACAAGGTCATGAGTTTGATCCCTGTACAAAAAAACAAACAAAAAAAGTACTGGAAGGTGCTTATCACTGTGCTATCAAGTATCAGAAGAAAAGGTTGATTCCTTACTTGAAGAAGTTTCAGCATTTCGTACTTAAACCCTGTTCTGTACCCTGCCACCTTCTAGAGATTAAAGAACTACTACCACCATCACCCCCATTCCATACCAAGATTCACAGCTTTTCTAGGCCATTGGTTAAATCGAGGATTCCTGGCAAAAAAGAAAACTTTGGCCCAGGTACAGTCCAAAGGAACTAAAACATTGTAGCAACATAAAACCCTTAGAAAGTTCCTACTAAGGATAGAGCCATAGGGGAGGTTGAAGTATTTAAAGAACTTCTAGAACATTTACTCACCACTTACCTACCAGCAAGATCTTCTGTCCCCACTTCCCTGCTGCCACAGCCCGCTACACATCTCCCTTCCCTCCTGGTATCCTCTTAGCCCTGTGCACCTCTCACCGATTCCCCTAATCTAGCACAAACCATGTAAAGACATATATACTGGGTGCCTTGGGCTCATGGGTGATCACAGCATTGATAGACACCTTTTGTGTGTGTGTGAAAGGTTCTGTTCTTTTTTTTTTTTTTTTTTTTTATTGGTACTGGGGATCGAACTCATGACCGCCTGCTTGCAAGGCGGGCACTTAAGCCACTGAGCTAAATCCCCAGCCCCAAGGTTCTGTTCTTAATTCTTTAATACTTACCTAATACAGCAGACATGATATGAAGCATGGCGTTATAGAATCTGTCCCATGTGCAGATTAATCATGTTGAGCTGGGATTTCACTCGGTTTTAGATTTACTTGAGCTGGACAGCAGTGGCTTTGAAAGCATAGAGTGTTAGAAGAGCCTTAAGACATGGTGACCTGAGCTTCCTATGTATAGGGATTAATAGGAAGAAACTACCTCATTGCCTGTCTTCTAACCAAGGGATTGGACTAAATATAAATTTTTGACTGTCAGAGACAAATTCAGTGATGGAAGACTTCAAATATTGCTGCTTTTTAATCCTAATAATAGAAGTTTTAGATGGCTGATGGGGAGCAGATGAAATGACTCCTTGACCCTGGTTCTCAATCCTGCTGTGTCACTGACAGTTGGTGAGGGTGAGGCATTGTGGGGAGAACCTTAAAGATCCCGGCTAGCTCAGGACGGTGGTAAGATTTAGACAGAGCCCAAACCTGACTACTTAATCCCTGCTCTATTCTAAAGACCTTCAGAGGAATGTAGTCCACAGCTCCCTTGGTGATTTGTTTAATGACCTTAAACATCCCACTCAGGAAATTCAGTTCTGCTTCTAACCAACATTCCCTACACTGTGGTTGTTTCTAGTTCTCCAGGTCTGTGGGAAATAGCTGCCCCTATCCTCACCCATATCCTCTCACTTTTTATATCTCCTTTATTCCCAGATCTTATTTTCTCATTTCTTAACAAATTCAAATTATACATGCCATAGATCAACAGCAGCTGGAAGCTTCATGGTAGGATGACTACTGAGGTGTATTTACTTCCTCACTGTGTGAGTAACCAGAAACAAAGATTTAACCAGACAGGAGAATTTACCAGTCATTGCTCATCCCTCCCAGATTAATGCTTTGGGAGAGGGAAAACACTGAGAAAATGAAGTCACTGAGAAAGCAGGGTGCCATTGCTCACTCGGTGGGAGGTGACATTTTCCAGTCTCAGTCTAAGGCACATCTTTCATTCCCTTGGGAGCTCACCATTGTAGAAAACAGGTTAGGTACAAAAGAGCTACCGAGGAATTTCACACATATCCTGTCTGTCTGTGCTAGGTACAAATACAGAATTGGCCCTGCAGGTGTAAGAGCACCATGATCAAAGTACAGCCTAAGAGACCTGTGGACGTTTGGGCCCAGCACAACTCAAAACTTCTGAGATTAGTCACTGCGTAGCAGGGTCAGCACTTGGGCCTAGAGCGGAAATATCCCCAGGAAACAGTGGAAGTGAACTGTGCCTGTGCTGTCTTCACTCCTGAGAGAACAGATTGCTCATTGGATGTCCCTTCAGACACTTGCTGATGTGGAAATTGAGGAAGTTCCTGTGATACTGGACAGTCAGTGCCTCTGTCATAAAACCCTTATTTATGACCCAGGTCTCCATGTGTTTATTTAAAAGGCATCAAATCATCTTATTGTGGGATTTATTCATAATCAAATAACATTTATTGAGCACTTAAACCAGTTAAAACATTCTTCTACATATTGTAGGTAGCCATCTGGA